ACTGTGGCATCAGGATTAGAGGAAGGCTCATCAACAACCTATGTTATGCATATGACACAACCTTGTTTGCTGAAACTGAGGAAGAACTGAAGCACTTTCTAAAGAAGGTCAAGGACTGTAGTCTTCAGTATGGATTGATGCTCAACATCAAGAAGACAAAGATTCTCACCACGGGGCCAACTGGCAGGACCATGATCGATGGAGAATAGATTGAAGTTGTTAACAATTACAGTTTACTCAGCTCCACAATCAACATCAGCAGTCAGGAAATTAAAAGACAAATTGCATTAGGAAAATTTGGTGTCAGGGACCTCTCCAGAGTGCAGAGAAGAAATTATGTCAGTCTCAAGATTAAGGAGCTCCCAATCCAGGCCGTGATCTTCTCAGTTACTTGCTATGCATCAGAGAGCTGGACAATGACTAAGGATGACAGAAGAATAATAGATACATTCGAGTTGCTGGAGAAGAGTCTTGAACATACCACAGATTGCCTAGAAAACAAATAGGTCTGTCTTGGAGAGGGTGAAACTAAGCTTCTCCTTAGAGGCTAGGATTTTAAAGCTCCATTTCACATATGTTGGGCATGTGGCCAAGAGAGACCAGTTCTTGGAGAACAACATCATGCTCAGAAGGGTGGAGGGACAGCACAGGAGAGGAAGACTCCTGATGAGATATAATGATATAGTAGCTGGGGTAATGGGTGTTGGTGTGTTGGAATTAATGAGATTGGCTCAGTACAAGGCAGGTTTCCGAACTGCTGTACATGGGCCACTATGGGTCGCAGGTAACTTGATGGCATATAACAAGAACAAAGTCTAATTGTGCTCTGTTGTACATAAGGTTTTCAAAAGCATTATATTTTAGAAGTAGATATCCAATCCTTCTTCCTAGTCTATTTTAATTTGGATGCTTAGCCTTCAAACAATATCTGTCAGACAAGCATTTTACCGAAAGGAGCAGATGAAAGACACTTCCCTTTACAGAGATAATCACTACATTCAGTCCACCACCTCCTGCATGTGTATCTTTTCCTTCCCTTTCCATGTTAAATCAGCATCCTCTGCACTTCCACCTACCCCGTCCAATACCTCCCTACCCCCAGCCACCTCTTGATATGATGACAAGTGTCACTTCTGGGATAGTTTGTGCTTCATAATGCTACTGGTCTCTCACATTGATTTCTGTCTCATATTTAGGAGGATTTAAGTTCAAATTCCATGTACCAACTTCAGGGAAGGATTTTTGTCTGAGGCAATTCTGGGGAGAGGTTCTCACCTGAGCTTCTGCTCCAGGCGAGTCGTCTTGTGGCTTAGTGTCTCTCTCTTCCTTTTGCACCACACGGCTGTCACAATACAATAATTTCCAAGGTAAGGGCTATGTCTCCATTAGATCTGGTATGCCACAGGCCCTCCCTCAGGCCTGATGCAGATCTGGGAGTGAATATCTCATCTTGTTTAGGATGCCTGGTTGTTAACAAAGTTGGTGGGATTCTTCTGGGAGAATGGGTATTACCTGATGAGGGAGAGAGGAAGGCGGTCTCAGATTCCTACTGTGTGTGAAGCTCTGGGGTTCCCAATGCAAATTAGGGACACAGAAGGTGAGCCCAGCCTCTGCCTGTAGAGCTCCCTAAACTCTAGTGTGTTATTGTTGTTGCTACTGTGCACAGTCAAGTCAGAATCGAACAATAGCTGACCTTCGAGTAGGTTTTAGAGACAGTAAATCACACAGGAGGAAGGAGCCTTTCTTTCTCCTGCAAGCCCTAGCATAGTGTTTGAAAAACATTAAGTTCGAGCTGGGAGAGTAACAACTGCTGCTTTGAAGCAAGCTATTCACAATATTCTTTCTAATACTGGCAAGAGATATTTAATCCCAAAATCCTTCTGAAGACAAATCATAATTGACACTTGAGAAACAAGAAAAGCATTAAAAATACTGAGTTTAGTGCACAAAGTCATATCTGAAGTGATAATGGAATCCACACTTTATATTGTCCAGTCTCAGCAATTTAAGCCCCGCCAACAGTGGGTCCTGCCAGCCCAGCCAGGCTCCATGTACAGGACACCAGGGCACATGGGCGCTGAGGAGATGGCTCCTTCATTGGCAACAGAGATGGGCTGCAGAATGCCAAGGGGTAAAACAGAGTCCACACAGCTGTAGGTATGAAAGTCAAACTCTTTATTCTTTAACCATTTTATCTGAGATAGGTAGTAGCACTGTATTGGGAGTTCCTTGGGAGGGGAAGATAGGGAACCTGTTGGGTGGGAATCTTATCTGATGTCTATTTCCAGCACATTTCATTTCAGAGCTTTCAACGGCAAGTCAAAAAGTGGAAGGAAGCTGGGCTTTGAGGTTAGTTTCCTGGTCAGAGTCCAAAACAGTGGCTAAAAATTATTCTTGGATTTTGTGATGTGTGTGACTTGGAATTTGGCTTTTGAAACCTGATTTAAGAAAACACAAGGTTCCAGGTAGCATATGGTGGTTCCACCTCGCCAACGTCTTTGTCTTCTTTGGCTGGTGTGAGAACATACTTCCCTGATGTTTTCTGTCCGCTCTGCCATGGGTTTGAGTCCAAGTCTATTCATATCTTGGGTTTTAAATAGAGTCCTCTAGATTGCCAGGTTCAGGTGGTCTGCTACCCCCAAGAGACACCTTCTTATCACCTCTGACTACATCAAAGTGAAGTATCAGCTCATCCCTGGCTTGAACACTTTGCCTGGGCTGGGCCAACTACTCACTGAGAGCCCTGGTAGGCAAGGGTTCAGGGTCCCCTTGACTGAGAATGTGGGTGCTCAGGCTTGACCTACACTGGCAAAATTTGCAGAGAATTCTAGACAGTTCAAGTGATTGCGTCTTCTGAGGAAATCATTTGTTGACATACATACACAAATATTTTGTTTAAATCACAACTGAAAAAAATTTTTTGCCACTGTGTAGACCTAAGTCCAACAAGAAACCCTATTTATTAGTACCGTTATTGTTTCCTTTGGCAACATGTATTATATTGATAAAATGGCAACAAAAAGGGGAAAATTGTAAAAGGAAAATATTTTGTACAAAAATACAAAGTTTTAAAAGCTCTGTAAGTATATTTCATATTATTACTAACAGTTGGCCTATATATCTGCATGTCTGTTTATTTTTTCCTACATTTGGAACTTTTAGAAATGGAAGGCACTGTTTCACACAGTATATGTTTAAGACCTTCTTATCGCTCAACAATCATTGCTAGACTTTTCCAGGTTGGAGAATCTTATAGCTTGCAAAACTGTACGGTTACTGGCTGAAAAAAAAATTGTATATGATTCAGTCCATCTGTACACTGAAAAATCCACATCGCACATGGAGGAACATCTTAGTCCCCAAGTCCTTAGAGAATGAGTGCTGCTGGCAGTATTTCCATGAAATTGCTTTTGGTGCTTTCCTTCAAGCTGGTGAGAAAGGAACATCTTCTGCCTTTAGAAGTCATCTGGAGTTTTGCTCATGTTATTATGTTACAGCCCATTATAAAGCAGATGATAGAGCTAAAAGCAGAGGAAAAGAGGATGAGTGTTAATTCCTTAAAGGATAAAATTAATTTACTTTTCAAAAAAGGACATGAGTTCTTATAGGAGTATACCAAAACATATCACTAGATTATGCTCTTTCCTCCTCTTCAAAGAAATGCCTGTTGTTGTTTTGTAACATCGAGTCAGAACCGACCTATTGCTGACCCTCTGGTGGGTTTCAGAGGCAGTTAACTGCACAGGAGACGACTGCCCATCCTTCCCAGCAGCTCGTGGTTTAGAATCGTGTGCCTTTGGAATTGCAGCGCAGCTTCTTGTCACTAGGCCACCAGAGCTCCCTTCTTAATCTTATAAAATAACAGCTATGTTTTGTTTTGAAAGAGGCTATTCTGGGAAATCCTAATCCCAACAAAATCCTGAATGGCTAAGTGAGAAATGTACGTCATTCATCACCATCTATTAGAATGTTTAGATATCTGTGTCCTCGTTACTCCATTCTCAGCTGACGAGGTTGTGTTAGTGTCTTGAGACCCTTAACACCTGGTCCAGTATCTGACACGTGACAGGTGTCAGTCTGTCGATAATTTATCATAGATGGATAATTGTGTCCCAGTTACTTTCAAAACATTGGAACAAAATATACTTGAGGTTTTTGTTTCTGAAGAGCTTTTAAAAAGTTTTATTAAGATATACATTTTTAGCAACACCCAAAAGAAGGCTGGTACCCATGAAACTTTGCTCCTCAATTCTCCCTATACACATGACAAGTGTTCAAGGAAAGTGAATGAAAATCATGCACTGAATGAAGTTTTTCATAAGACTTTTCCAGTTAAGAAAATTCCCCAAAGGCATTCTTGGAGTATGACTTTACAAGGGACAGAGACCACATCCATCCATCACCTAGCAGAGCATCTGTTCACAGTAGATGCTCAATAACCACATGTGTGAGAGAATGCTTGGCACTTACACTATCTGTACAACTCAATGGAAAATATAAGATACTGGTGCCATTTTTTTTTGTACGATAAACAATTTATCCATTGAAAATGCCTTTCTTTTTTGTGTGGTATATTAGTTTTTCGCTTTTAAAAACTTTTATATTGGTTTGCTTACAAAGTTTGTATACATTGTATTTCACACTGTTCTTCATTCACACTGTATTTATACTATCTTCCCACGCATTATGTTTTATAAAATTAATCACCATTGCATTTTGCCCATCATTACCTTCTCTTTTCAGGTCCCCACTGGATCTTTTCCATTTCCTTCACCCCCTTCCTTCACCCACCAAACTATGCAACACTGTGATCTTGCCCCTGTTCATCCTCTCCCTTCTGCTCTTACCTCTTCCTGCCTTGGGTCCCCAAACCCAAGTTTATTTGTCCCAGTTATTTGTCCTTATGAGACTGAGTTAGTTTAATCAGCTAGTGCCATATTTTAAAGAACAATGAACTGATAATATTAGAAGATGCTGATCTGGGCCAATCAGTCAAAGATTTACGAACTTTCTGTACACCAGGGACAGCTGTGCTTCACTTAAGTGAATTCATTTAAGTCTTCCCAATTCCCTGTACAATGGACACTACTCTCATCAGTCTTGTCAATGGCCAAACCGAGAGCTGGCTTCTAAACCTGCCTTCTTACAGTAATCCCCTCTTCCTCTTAAATGAGACTCCACAACATCCCCCAACATCCACTCTGCTGCTTACCTGTGTCCCTGACTTTTTCACAAATGAAGTGATTGATGTCTTCACACTGGAAATCATTCCATTGTCCAGCATAAATCAAGCCAGCGCAGTCTTCTCCTGGCCCATGACCATGACCCCAGTTATCTGGCTGGCCGGATTTCCAATTCCTGTTAAAATAGAAATGGAGTGTGATTTGCACATCAGAAGTTGAAAACCAAAGCCTGTAATCTGTCTTCAAATGAAAATGCATTATGTAATAAGCAGTGTGTGTTCTTATCCAGAACAGGAAGCAGCTGCTTTGCAGATGTAAGGCTCTCTCCACCTGGACACCCTAAAAGGCCTTGTCCAGGTCAGGGGGCCAGAGGTCTGGACTGTAACACAACATGTCCTTGCAGATGTATGATCTTTGCCACAATGAAGTCACCCCATCGCGTGACTTCTTCACATAGCTGATTGAGTGGATCCTTCTGCAGCATTAAGATAAATGAGAACTTGTTTTTATAATATGATTTCATATCTATGACAAACATTTGCCATCTTAATCATTTTAAGGTACAATTAAGTGACATTAATGACATTCACCATACAGTCAA